GGACGACTGCGGCTGCTTGCGGCCACCGCCGTGCGTCGACTGCTTGTCGGCCGCGGGTTCGCCGCCGGCTTCCGAAGCGTCCGTCGGCACGCCGGCGACCTTGAACGACGTCGGGGCGGCGGGTTGCGACCGGACGACTGTCAGATCGTCCGCGACGGTGGCCGCCGACGACGACGAAGCGGTGGCCGTGGACGCCACGGACGACGGCGGCGGCGGCGGCGGCTGTTGTTTCTTGCTCGCCGTCAACGTGGCAACCGCGCCGCCGGCGGTGCTGGTGGTGGTCGCCGTCGCCGTGGTGCTGGTGGTGGTGGCGATGCAGCTGGTGGCCGCGGTCGAGTGCACGCAACACGTCTGGTGGTGCGTTTCCCAGTCCTTGTGCTGGCAGAACGAGCTACAGTACTGCGCCGTGTTACAGCCGCTGCACGTCTCTTGCGCCTTCCGACCGCAGTTCCAGCAGCTCTGCCGACAAACAAACACGTATCACAAACACAATAATATTTCGTCGAACGAGCGCAGCAAGTCGTACGATAATTTGTACACATCAGTCCGGTGTTCGACCGCAAACTTTTACCGTTCCGCTTGTGCTTTTCAACCCATATCGTTCGTTTTCAACCCCTTACCGGCGTGCTGGAATTCCCAATCGGGCTTGACGTGCACAGCGCCCCCGAGGATCGAAATCGTACCGTTATCGTAGTATTATTAATAATATTGAAATCTGTCTGTGTACAGAAACAAATAACGGGCGTCGACGAAGTAACAACGTCGATCGTTTTGGCACGACGTGATAAAGATTTTCTGATAAACTGGAATTATTTGACAAAACGAAATATCATTTCAAAAGAAGTTGAATTATTTCAATAGTGTGTGTTGAGATATTTTTCATGCGGTAATTGAAATGTTACGTTCGTCATTCGTATGAATCATATACGACAGCGCGAATTTTGTTTTCAGTTGTTTCTAAAAGAAAACAAAGCCGTGAACCGTAATGGAAACAGTTAATTTTCCAAATGTTAAAAATGAAAGGAAAAAAAAAGAGAAAGAAGTATTAGAAATACACTTCTCCTCTGAAAAAAAAAAAACATTTTTATAATAATTAAAAACATTGAAAGTAAATGTACCATTTTATGTTCAACTTTCACGACTCAAAATTTTCGTTTACTTTTTAAATAGCAAAATTTTATCTAAATTACTCAAACTAAAATGAATAACCCTAAACACAGACCATTGTATTATCAAAATATCAAATCCATGTTTAACATTAATACCGGTTAAATAGGTATTATCTCAAGGCGAAGAACTTTGTTTCGATAATTTACAGAAAATTAGTCGTTTCCTAAGTCCAAGAGTCGACTATGAACAGTATTATTAATATATTATTTTTACAGCTGTATGTATTAATTATTGTATTAATTGATGGTTTGTTGAAATTTTCAAATTTGATTTTCGTTATTTCCTCGGGGCTAAATTATTGATTATGAATTAGAAATTAATATTAATTATCAAATGGTATAGGTTTGTTAAATAGTCTTGCTAGTCCAGCTTATGATACATACTAAAAATGTTTCGATTTATTTGCTAGGGAGGAAATAGATTTACATAAAACTGTCACCCCCCCCCCATCAAAAAAAAAAAAAAAAAAGAACATCACCAAATTATACCACTGCAAACTTATGTATACGAGCAAGCATAGATATCAAATAAAGAAATTGAACGGTGAGAATTTTCGATATGTGTGTTCGTAGTTACGCGTAGAAACGACATTACCGGCTCTACTACAATGTTCTCTAACAACAAGAAGATAATAATAATAGTAATAATAGTTACAATAGTAATAATAAAAATAATAATAAAATTTATTTGGGGTTCCGACTTCACCGTACGTCGTTGGTGGTTCGCGTTTATTCGCGTCATCGCATATCATACGCGGAGGAACACGGGTCCGCGCGTGTGACTACGGGCCAGATGGTAACAACGCGGTGGGATACAACGCACACGTGCGTGCATGTACGTGTACACGAACCGGAGGTCTGCGCAGTATTACAATAATATTTTGGAACGATATCCAATAGAAATTTATTGGAGGGTTGGAGAAGTTTGGTTGTATACGAAACGTTATGACCAGGCGTCTGTTCTATGTCCGTGGCGGTACGTCATAATAAAAACTAACCGCGGACTCTTCGTGTATTACGCACACAAAATGCGAAATAAAAATAACTCGCGTCGAAGGGTGGTGAAAAATGCGCGTGCGCGTAGAACACGAAGTGTCGTGGTATCTTTGGCCGCGGAAAACAACCGTCCCGTGCTCAACAACGAACAGAGCTTTCGGATTCGGACGGTCCGCGAGCCGTCAAATCAAAAATCATTGCCCGGTGCGTATTTCGGACCGACGAAGTGATCGGAGGAGTTCCTTTCGTCCAAAACTGACGGCATTCGAATTGCGGTTCGGTAAAGCGGATTTTTTCCGTCGACTGACCCGCGATACTCCAGTCCGGTCTCGGTTGCCGTTTGTACGGAACGCGTTCCGACCATTAAAACGCTTTGTTCTCCCGTGCGCACCGCGTTTACGACCAGAAGCGAATCGACGACGAGCATGGAAATGAGATTCGTGAAACATGCCAAAAACCGAACACACAATATCAGTGACTGAAAATCGGACTTTTTTCGACGAGTCGCGTTAGTGTTGGCCTAGAGCCGGGAACGCCGACATACCTCATGGCCCTCCGGTAAAAATGAAAAGCCCAGTCTTCGGGTGTTTCCGACGATTTGGGCGGTCGTAGGGGTACCGATAGTGGTGTATTGAAGAGTATACGGGGGTATACGGCGCATACCCAATACGTTATTTCAATCCGCGGCGTATAGCTCGCGAGAAATTGATGATACGCGGGTATACGGCCGTATCTAGCGTATAGCCTGTAATCTGACGAATAACTATATAATACCTCGACCAACCTAACTTGTGGTTATACTTATGACTTGATTGTATTATTATTTTAATGAAAAGTTCAAATTTGTAATAATTTAACAACATGTTTTCGTTATCAAACAGTCGTGTGTAGTTCATGAGTGAGTTTTGTTGGTTCGTGCCATATGATGAAATAACGCGTATGGCCATGATTTATTTTTGCACTACATCCATGGGTACCGACAATCACGCGGTCACGTAGGCGCGGACTACCGTGAAGAAAACGGTGTGTTGCGACATCGGGTGGGCCGCGACAGCTGCAGCGAACGGATTGCATGTGATGTTCGCAGGGTATCTGCAGCGGTTTCGATCCTATCGATTTTCCACTGCTGCATAACTGCAGTACGAGCACGCGCGCGCCCCTGACTCGCACCAAGGACTTACGTTGTACTGCGAAATCAACGACGGCGATGTCTGCAGACTGGAACTCGATGTTCTGTTACCGCTTAGTCTCGTTCGCTCCGTGGCCACCAGTTCGATCATTTTGTTTTCCGCGGCCAACACGAGTTTTTGCAATTCCACCATGGCCTGATGTCTTATCTCGTTCACCGAGTCCTCTAGAAACAACAGAAACGAAACCCGAACCGATTACGCAACACGTCTAACACGCATTAACTCGATAATAGTATAGTGTTTTTTTAATTTTTTTTTTTTTTAAAAATAAAAAAAAAACCGACGTGCACGCGCGGCGAGGTGGTTAAGAACGATTATTATTTTTATATTACGTTACGAATTACGACTTTGATTGATATAATCGTCGTTCATATTTTTATAACCGTCCGTTATTGTCATACTTTGTGGCTGGCGATGTTTGTGCCGATAATCGGTAAATAAATAAATTATTGGTAACGAACCATGTATAAAACTCACGGAATCGTTGTTCCTCAAATATTTTCTACGAAGTTAATCTGAAGAAAAATATTTACGCGCTCCAATTAGATTGTATATTACATCGTGGCTTATATTAGTAAAACATACATTGTCTACGGATTAAAAATAAAAATATTAAATAAATAGTCGTATATTTATCAGTGGCGTACCTATAAAGTGGCATGATGGGTAATGGGCCACGGGCCACGATTCTAGAGGGCCCATCAAGAATAATTATAGCAAATTCAAAAACAAATCACCATTATAGTTATATACAGGGCTCGGGAATTAAAGCATTTACTTATTTTTATGGATTGACTTAAAATGTAGCAGAATGCTATAGAATTATATATCAAGTTGTAGCACGTACAATTATGAAATTTGAAAGTGCCTTTTTCTTTGCTTTATCAGCATTTTTTCAAAAAAATGCTTATTTCCAGTTTTTCTGATTATTTTTGTTTATTTGACCAATTTTTTTTAATGTTTTTATAGTTTTCTCCAGCAAAGTCGTTTTTGATAGAATTAAAAATAAAAATAATTATTCTTATCTACAATGTCGCGTAATTTGTCGCCGCCCGAAGCATTGTTGTAGGGTTAACAAAGATATTCCAACGCTGAAAATAGAACTGAGTGTCAAACGTCAGAATGATCAAAAACAGAAAAAACAGTATACATTTTATTTTTCAAAAAAATCACTTAGAAAATCTATGAAATCCTTAAAGTCTTGAAAGTGAAGATTTATTTTTATTTTATTTGATTTTTTAGTTAGAATTTTATGGTTTTTTTTTTTTTTTAATAAATATTTTATTGCTTATAATTATATTTTTAAACGCTTATTTTAATGATTTTAAGTGCTATAAGTCCCAAGCACTGGTTATATATATATATATATAGTTGATAATTATGATGCAGTTTTTGCGCTTAAAATTAGATTTGTTGAAACTTAAAAAGCTTTAACAAAATGTATACTTGGCAGCTCGAAGTTAGACGAACGAAATGAAGCTGAAAGGATTAAAAAACAAATTCAAAATTATAATTGTATTTGCACTATAGTTTTCAATGTAAATTTTTTAAAATTATAAAAATAATACTACACTAAACATGTTTTTAATCGTTTGTAACTTTAAAGGGTAGAATTTTTTAGGTGGTTATTTTTTGTAGGCAATTCATCATAACTCCTTTTTCCAAATTTGTAAAACTAAGGGCCTGTTGGATTATTTAGCCACGGGCATTAAGAGTTCTGGTAACGCCACTGATGTGTATATTATTGAATGCAGAAAGAATCTTAAAAATACATTTATGTTCTGTCTAACCATAATGATAAATACAAATATTTATTTGAATTCCATGCTATACAAATATACGTTTACCTTGGTATAGTAACGATGTTTTTAACATTCTTGAAATCTGTGTAAATAGTAATGTAGAATCAATTTATGATAGTTGGTACGCATATGTTAATAAAATATTGTTGTAATAATAAAAAAAACTGAAATTCGTAGTTAAATAAATGTATAATTGTGTATCTAACATTAAAATCTATTTTAAATTCTAATATCACAACTTTGTTTGATCTTTTGTTATTTATTTTTTAAAGATTAATAATGCCCTTTAAAAATCCTAAAATTTTATAAAAATATTTCGATTCTATGTACTTTTATTTTAAAAAATATATACAAGTGATTGTACTATATTTTTAACGTTTTAATGTATCATGATAATTTTACAATATTTAATAAGTTGTTTTTTTTAACTAAAGATATTAATAATTGTTGAACCGTTGTACATTATTTTTCAGATTTACCTGAGAAATAATATATTATTTGATAATCATTCATACCAATAGAAGAAATTTATAATTTAAAGAACAAAATGCTAAGATAAATTTCTAAGTTAATAAAAAATAAACAATGGCATTGTTTAGTCAGAAATAATTATATAACTTAAAAAGAAATGTGTGTCGTCGATTTCAAACATTAACTATATTCCGTCTGATTTGACTGATTAAATTTTCTTTGTAATTGTAAAATATCTCATTTTAATAAATGGGTTTCGTTGATGTAAGATGGATAAGTAGGTATATAATAAAATAATAACAATGAGATTATGTACATTTTTGTTTTATTTAATATTTCTATGTACTGGGTCTTTTTTACGTGAAATATTAATTTTATGGAATTGATTTTTAATATTTTTAGTTTTATTTTTATTTTTATTTGTATAACGTCTATTAAACAATCGATACATCAGATTAATAATCATGACTTCAAGATATGATTACATTTAAAAAAGAATAAAATTAATTATTATAAAACTTATTATTTAATTCATTTTTTTAAATTTATAATTATATTTATAATTTTAAAATTGATAGTTTGAAATTTTGTGAGGTATTCTATGTTTTCTTGTGTACTTAATGTAAATTATAGTAAAAATATGATAATATTAATTTTTTCTCAGCCAAAGAAGATGTAAAAGAAATTATTATTTTTATAATTATTAAAAAAAAATGTTTTTACATGTTTCCAAGCCTGGGCATTAACTTAACTTATTTCATTAGTTATAAATTAACTTAACTCATTTCCATACAAATTAACTTGAAATTAACGTATTATTTTTTCATTTATCCCAGTTAAGTTAATTTTGATTTTCAAGAACAGAAAAATATTTTTGTAAAATACCGCATTCGATAACAAGTTCATGAAATTTGGAAAAATATAAAAATAAAAAAGAATTTTGAAGAATTTTTAGATGAGACCATAATAATTATCTCGAATATTAACTATTAATTGGAGTCCCACTAGTCTCGGGAAAAGGAATCAACCGTCTTCAGACTACTAAGTAAAAGTAGTTAAAACAACCATGAATTACATTATCATTGTCATGAAAAATAGCCGTAAATCTATATTACAAAAATAGGTACATATTATCATTGACCAAATAATTCTTAATAATAATTGTACTCTATTATTATTAGAATTATATCATAATCTATGATATTATTAAATAAGATATATTATTAAGTATTATTGAATAAGAGGAGACATTTAATAGCTGATCAACATTTTGAAATTACTTTTTTATTGAGATTCAATAGATATTTTGATTAACTTGTCCATTGTATTGTTTTAGATTTTAATAAAATAAAATTATATTATATATTTATTTTAATGTTTTGTATCAACTGTATACATTTATTGCTTGTATAATTTTATAGCTACACTTTCAGCTACAGTAATTATTTTTAGTTTTCATACTATTATTGAATATTAAAAAGAATACTTTTTAAAATTATATTTGTCATATGTGATTTGTATGAAAAATGAATAAAAATAATCCCAATAAAGAAATGTATATTTTTCAACTCTAATCAGAGTCTAATAACAATTTTCTTCGTTTTCATTATCGTTAATGTTAAATAAGATCTATTGTTAATTGTTAATATATATATATATATATATATATATATCATTTATATCAGCACTTAATTTTAATATTTTATTTTGTAATTAACTTAACTTATTGATTGAAGTTAAGTTAAGTTAACAATATTTTTAACTTAATTTTTTACTTAATTGTTGTAATTTTCATGTATATTAACTTAATTGCTAACTTAATTGAACATGAACTCAATTAACTTAACTTAACTGAGTTAAAAAATATCATTAACTTGCCCAGTTGCATTTTTCATAACATTAATGTAATAAAGAAAACAACGAAGGTTATAAAAATATTTATAAGAAAATCAATAAATAGAGACTACAATTGTTATGTTATTGAAACATTATATATTATGTTATTAAAAAAAAAAAAAAAAAAAACTGAATACAAAGATTCATTAATTTTAAGTTGAGTCAGCTTGTATTTTTTAATTTTATTCATTAAATACACGCCCCAAATACGAGAATCGAAATATGGACGTGATTATATACTATACCTATGGTATTTTAATATTTTACTATTATATGGACTTATAAAAATATCTTTGAGACAAAATTTTATAAATAACAAAACAGCATATTTTTATGCATTTAAAAATATCTCTTACCGGCTTTCTTTTTTATGCTTTCGATACGTTCTTCGGTGTGCCGTACAGTTTGCGCCAGCACTTCATCTGTCGATTTCTTTCTATTCCAATCAGGAAAATGTGTGTCCGTCAGACCGCGCTCTTGAAGTATACCTAATGCTTTCTTTGTTTTTTCCACCATACTCAAAATACAGTTCAACATCTAATAAGAAAATTAAATTAATAAAAAATATGCAATAGAGTTTCGAAAAAATTCGATGCAAGCAAAATAATAACCAATATGTTATAAGGTCAAAGATCATAATATTTTTATTTAAAAATAATTAACCTAACCTAATTGTACATGCTAATACTTGCATAGTCTTTTATACTTAATTGTATAAATATAAATATTATTAATTATATATTCATATTTCAATAAATATTGACTTGTTATCGACCAAATATACCCAACTAAGCAACTAGATATTCAGTATGCTGAAAATGCATAATGAACAAACTGAAAACAAGTAATAATAATTCCTATTTTGACTACATATCCATATTTTGGTCTTGACAAAATATAAAGCTTTTGGATTTATTGTTTTTAAATTATTTATAAACTGCGCAGGCTGTTATTGAATATAAATGATTAATTAGAATTACGTTCACTAGTCATTAATATAAACCTAATCGTCAGTCTACTCGAATAATTATTTTAATACTATACACATTTTGTAAACAACGTGAACTAAATATTATTGTATTTACTTGACATGTAATTTATTATCTACACTATTTTGTATAAAATAAAAATAACACAAAATAAATAAATATTACGCCATTCAAATTATTCCTTTCATTTATATTTTCCCTGAATGTCTATTAAATAAGGCTTAACAACGACTATATCGATTTTCTCCGCATTTTGTTGAATAATTTTACTTTTAAATTTTAACCGAATTCAATAATCTTTGCATTTATAATTAATGTTTAGATCTAACCAATGTATACGCTTATAAAACTATAACAAGGTTTATATACAATTAGTACTTTTACTGAATATTATACTATAATCCTCGGTATAACAGGCTCCCAAATACAGGTAATTAATATTTTTATTAAGTATCTTTGAATTGACTCCCAACATTTTTTTTTTTTTTCAAAAATATATTGATTTCTAAAATGTAATTAATAATTAAAGTTATGCATTATTTCTTGTAGTAGTTAACGTTAACTACACTCCACAATAATTTTAGTTTAATCCTTAATTTTCACACGTTATTTAAATTTACGTATTTTAATTAAGTTCGTATATTTTACCTAGTTATACTGAGCAGTGCCGGATCTAGTATATTTTTTACTCGGGGCAAAGTATAACATTAGCGCCCTCCCACTTTGTTATGCCCACAATTATACTTACGTACCAGTTAAACTCTAAAGAAAAAAATCGAAGATAATAAAAGAAAAAATATATCTATTTGCTAGATTAGAAAAATATGTATTAAATAAAAAACTTTAAATACAAATTATTACAAACTAATACATAAAAATAATCATTATACAATAATCAAACAAACACTAAAACATCAATCAAACATTAAATTTTGATTTTTCTTGCTTTTCTGGCGGCAAAATCGTTAATTATTTCGCCATAATCTAAATTTTTGGCAATTTGATTTTCGATTAAAATAATTGAATTTGATAGTTGTTACATGTCGAAGAAAATTAATTTATGAGTATTGTTAATCGGATTTTAACATCATGTGTTGTCTGATTATCGTAATTTATAGTTTGTAGATATCCTATAGCAATAAAATATACTACAATGAGTCGCAGAAAATATATTTAGTAGACAAATAATATTCATTGGGTTTTTGAGTTTTCCCCATTGTTGTTATAACCATAAAGTTAAATGGAAATAGAAATTGTAATTTGTATAATACTTTTATTATAAAATGAATAAAAACTATTAATATATATACACAACTAATTTTGTAATTTTGCGCCCCTGACCAAAACTTCCGGGGCAAGTGCCCCGGTTCCCCTCTCCCTATGGATCCAGTCCTGATACTGAACATTTTACATCTTAATAAATCTATTATTTTTTTCAAACAAAATTATTTTCCAAATACAAAACAAACATTATACAAGAGTGTAGCAAAATAAAATTAAAATAAAACACAGACAATAATTAAGCTGGACACATTGTCATAGTATATATATAAATAAATACAAAAAATATTATTATATTAAATTATTCGTTGTGGTTTATAATTAATGGCTAGTATTTTTATATATTGAAATCTTGAAATTACACGCCATATTTTTGAATTTCATTTTCTAAAAATTTTATCTCTAATTTTTTTCCTGTGATATTGTATTATAATGGAACTTCTTACAATAATTGTAGTAGAATACTTTATAGTATATTAAAAAACATATGTATACCTGGATGTAGTGAATACCATTTTGGAATGGAAAAATTCGTAAGAGTTAGTTGTACAATAAATACTTTTGCATTTTTCTGTCCAAATTCCTGGCGGAAATGTTGAATAATTTTCAATGTAAATTTTTAATTTAATTGTAATTCAATTTTAATGTAAATAATCATTACATTTTGTAAATGTTTCATTCATAGGTTGTACTTCAGTTAATTTATCCGAAAAAAAGAATGATTGTGAATCTAGAAATGACAATCTAAATACATACGTTAAATATTTGCCTATTTCTGTATTTTGCCATAATCCATTTAAAATCCAAACTTTTTTATTGTTCTATACCATGATCACGATTATGTTGTACATTATATGATGCTCAAACGATATCTTTGTTATCCAATACTTTTAAATTTGCAACGCATCCTCATCTAGTAAATGTATATCGTTCCAATACATTTTGGAGAAATTTATGGAAACTAATCTTATTTTTATCCAGCGCCATACTATTTGAGTGAAAAGTCTAAATGATGTCGTAATAGAAAACTCGTATACTATAAGAACTTCTTGTTTAATAATAATATCTGACGGTATTGAGAACAAATTTAAATATGCATTTTCAGGAGCCAATTCAAGGATACAAATTTATATTTACCCAGTATTGGGAGTCAATCTAATGGTAACTAAACGTTTCCTAAACCATAATGTTTACATTAACTGCATTTAACAATATCAATTATTTAAAACAATTTCTTTACTAGTACGAGCACACAGATTTTGTATGTTAACAAAACAAAACAAAAATAAATATAGTTCAACTAATTTTGAAAAACACTATTTAAATTTGGAAGTATGTTCTGTAAACAGGATGTCAACATTCAGCCATATGGCTGACGACAGGTCTTAATCTTAGCGGATACTTTTTAATGTAGTCTTTTATGTATATTTAACCTTTTCATATAAACAGAGATTTCGTAGACAAATATAAAACATTATGGTTTGTATATTATAATCCAATTATAATCCATAACAATATTTTCCTATAAATCTTTCAACGAAGTAAAAAAACAATTCTAAGAAAAAAAAATTTTTTAAATAATTTGGTTAAAACCCCCACACGTTTAACATAAAAGATGATCATAAGAAATAATATAATATATAATCATATAATAATATAGAATCATTCATTTATTTAACGACAATCGTACATATTTTTTTCGAAGCTTTCCGAAATCATTATTTTATGCACTTAACATCTTCCATTGTTTTTTGGAAATTGCACGCATCAGGTACGGTAGAAAAATTACAATTACATACCGACTTTAATAAACAACAAAAACCGTTGGTCTTCTGTTATCGTATTTATTATTTAGCCATATACCAAAATAATCGAAAACTGTTTCTTGTATTCTATGACATGGAATATACGAAAAATCTTTCAGGAACTTCTTGTACATTTCAATACATGACATGACATTTTATAAAAATCGCTGAAGATTGTATAATGATATGTATATATGTATATAAGATATGTATAATCATTATTTACGAAGGACTAAATAAATATGAAGGAAAGTCGAACAAATCTAAACAAATCGAAATTTGCAAAGATAATTTTCATTCCGTTTCACGGCACTCGGATACTAAGTTTAGAATTCTGAAAGTTTATATCGAAACTTTAGTCGAATAATCCAGAGCACGGATTATCGAATTCTCGTACCGACGAAAGTTAAAACATGTTTTATTGAATGTGGATCTGTCATAAAATGATGGAAAATTGGTGAAACACGTTCCAGATAGTAATACTATGGATGTTTCAATCGTGTTTCACGTTTTTAACAAATGCGTATACATTATTTTTTATAGTGCCACCAGATGACCGTAAGTATACGCGCACATTCGTTGGCGAGTACAACTTCGATCGGTAAAAAAAAAAACCCCCCGAACGAACACAACCCGCGCTAACACGCGTTGGACGGAAAAAATAAACGATCGGCAAACTCACCACGTGTATGTTCTTCCATTCGTCCTCCACGTGGCCCTTGTGGTCCTCGACCTCGCGCAAGTGCAACAGCGGCAGTATGTTGTACGGGTGCGGGGGAGGCGGTGGCGGCGGTGGCGGCGGCGGGTCCTGCGGGTGCAGGTTCGGGTGGTGGTACATGAACGGCACGCCGTATCCCAGGTTGGGCCGTTTGGCGCACGGCTGCTGGTAGTCCAAGTCGGCCGCGTAACCGGTCTCGTAATAGCTGTCGGCGGCCGCGGCCAAAGGGTACGACCGCTTGTTGCCGGCGCTGTTGTCCCGCGACGGCGGCGGCGGCGGCGGCGGCACCCGTTCCACCTGGTGAAAGATCTCGGACGGTTCGCTGGGCTGAGAGTCCCGGTCCAGGTACGCGTTCTCGTGCTGCTTCAGGTACTGGCTCAGCGTCTGCGAAAAACGCACGTCAACGCGCACGATAACAATTATACTAATAAAATAAATGTAACGTTATGTACGGCAAGGGTTCGACGATTTCCGAGAGCCACTTCGAAGGATCCGAGAAAATCCCATCGGAATTTCATCGAGCACGTGTTGTGATCTCATAATATAATAACACGGTGGTCAAAGCCTAAATTTTTATTTCATCATAAAAAAATAACACGTGTATAGTTATATGTCTGAATTAGAAGAATAGAGTTAAATTTAATGAAAATGCCAAACAATGATGAATGAAAATCAATTACAGTCGATTTCCTAAAGAGAAATATGATTGGGTTTTTCCTCCTCGTCTGCGTGCATGATCGGCAGACCGTCGTTTAGCCATCCCTGAATTGGTTCCCACTTAGTCAACGGGTTAAATACGAATTAAGAATGAGGACGAACTCGTTTACAAAAATGTTGCGAGTCGTGTATACACGAATGTATACTAGCGAAGTAAATCAAAATAAAATATGTAATCATGCTGCTTCAGACGTTATCAGCTAATTATTGTTTTGTATCGTACAAATAACGATTTGATAAGATTTTAAACGGGAACCAGTGTGATAATCGAATAAACGAATATGTTATATCCATATATTTTTGGCAGTGGAAATTATTGTTCTCAAACGATTCATATTGTGACTGTTTTATTGCAGCTAAGTGATTTATACCGAAACCGATTCCATCAATTTTTTCCCGACTCGAGAAACCAATTCAGCAACTCCGGGCAGTACACGACGTTTCTCGTCTTTGTTTCGACCGCGGCCCCAACGCGCGTGTATTGAACTGCGAACCCGTCACGAATCACTTGCATACCGATTGGAAAACTAAGAGCTATTGGGACGTGGTATACGCGTAAATTTACTTTATAGTATACACGTCAACTCGAAGAGACGACCGGATTTTATAACAGACTTACGCGAAAAATATTTCTAGGTAAAAACCTCCACTATGGTTGCGTATGCTTTTGTATTCCTGTTTTTACGAACACAAATGAATTTGAATGGGGTTTTAATATTACGATACGAGCTGTTAGAGCTACAGCTTACAGCTTGTAAGCTGTTAGTACGAGAAATATAAATAACTATTATTATAAATTTTTGATTTTTTTATATCGCGTAGTTATAAGACATTTTTATAAACATATTGTAAGCCCAGATTTGAAATAATCAAAAAGATTTAATTTCCATTAGCAATGCGTTGTAAATTTTCAAAAGTGATTGAATACTAATGCTCCATAGACAAATCTATATACTACAAAAGCATACTATTACTTTAGTCACGAGTAAAATATCGAGTTAAAATCCGCATTTCATTTAAATTATAGCTTAATATTTAAAGTAAAAAAAAAAAAAATAAATAAAAGCATTATTAGTGTACAGTTATAGTTTGGTAATAATTAGCTGAAAACCTTAAAATATATTTACTTCTTGTCATGTTAATTACGTTTTAGCATATTAATCTTCAAAGTTTTATCTTGTCCTATAGTACTGCGTGAGCTTGAACATTGCGTAATGCAAAAATATGTTTTTAAAGAAATTCGTTTCCAAATGTTAATTGATAAAAATAATGTTAGATGGTTTGTCGTCGTTCATAAATTATTTCCCTCAAATGCACTTGGCGTTTTTAGCGACTTAACGTTTCAACGCGTCATAAAACTACAGCGTATAAACCATATACATACGCGTACGCGTATACACATTATGTACCTATGTTGCGTGGATAAAAGTGCACGTTTTTTACACATAAAAAAAAAAAAATAGAAGCCGTAAATATCTGCCATTGGTTCGTAAACGATTTTTTCGCCTTAACACGTGATGATAATATAACGGCATTAGTGCGTTATCCAGAGAACTATGAAACGAAGGAATCGAAAATATGAAAAAACCGAAATAGACTACAGCGTGTCCGTGTAACAATTATAACATTGTTGGTCTTCGCCGCCCATCGCCGTGGCGCGGACACAGATATTGCATGCGATTTTAAGCACGACCATCATCATCAGCTGTGCGCCGTGAACAGGGGTCGTTTAAGCGATATGCACGTGGGACTCGGGCGGACGAGTGCTGCTGCTGACCGCCCGGACGGAATTCATTAGAAGTACGAGCGCGACGGCTGTTGCCCCGCAGCACATGCGGCCAGTAATGGACGACACAACACATTAGAGGTTCATTTTTGTTGGTTTTTTTTTTTTTTTGTACATTCTTCCTCTTCTCCTTTCCCGGCTCGGTCATTCGCTCGTCTTTATAATATCTCATATCGTATGACAGCCATTTTCGACGACGCCACCCTTTGCGGTCCACGAAAATTTCATATTATACGATTTTTCGGCGGAATCCAGAAATAATACGACAGTGTTCTTTCCCGCCTTTTTTTTTCTCTCCCTCTCTCTTCCGACAACGTTTATTGTGCATCAACGTTCGAATAAGAATATACGCATATAATACAAGTACACAACACGCACGTAAACGATATTATGCGCGTGCCGATTTACGATAAATATTTTTTTTATTTATTAACAACTGTGCAAAGTAAAATATTGACAAAACGAATCAAACGCTTTTATGGCGCACGTCCTAGATTTCTAGATGTCTATCTTTTTTATTTTATTTTTATTTTAGTACAACGTATCAAACGATATTGTTGAATATAGTTTACGGTTTAGAAGAAGTTAGTGGTGATTTGCTCAAGTGTCATCGCAATGACGTTTTATGACTGAATCGATCAAATCATTTTGAGTCTTAACACGCATAAATTGTGTTTAAATAAAATTATTGTTACTATAGAACGATCTAGTTGGTCGAATAATCGATATTAATATATATTCTCATAATACAACACAAAACTTTGTTTAAAAATAATACTGACTACTTTATTATTATAATCAAAAACATCCTTTTAACAAGAACACACGTTTAAAAATAAAAATCACTGAACTGCAAATGTTTAAGAAGAATTTAATAAATTGAACGTTCTTAAAAACAAGAAAATAAATATTATTTTAACCGTATTGATTTTTTGAACCTATACATTTACATGTTAAATAAATATAAATTATACCGAAATTCTTATTAAAATATTGAAATTACCCTTTGGCAATGTAATGAAAATTACATATAATGTTCAACCTCACTACATAAAAGTAGTGGTATAATTCCCTTTTCAGTTCTCTGCTCTGATATTAATTTAAAACCCATGTTTCAATCAGCCACTAGTACCTAATTTTCAAAAAGTACGACAGACAGTCGACATATAAAAGATTTTCCCAAAAATCAACAAATTAATAAAAAAATCTCATTAATTTTACGAATTTAATGATTTTGAAGGTTAAATAAGCAAAAATAACAGTTCGAGCAAAATAGTATAACACATATTATTTCCTTTATAATTAAAAACTAATAAAAACATAGTGGTTTAAGTTTAGAAAAGGAATAAAAAGGATTTTCAATTTATTTTAACTTATGTTTATTGGAAAAATTCAAGTTTACTATAATCGTACGATTGTTATGGGGTAACTTCTTCAAATATTTTACTGGTGGGTTACATTCAAGTTTTACTTATAAATATTAAATTTTGTGATATTTTAAGATGTTTAGGTTGAATACTTCATCATAAAAACATAATATATAAGTAAAATAAAAATATTTAACATTGAACTGCACAACGTCAATTTCTTAATAATTTAAGCAATAAATGCCATTTAATAACTATTTTTTAAAAAACATAATATCAATGTTTTCTTTAATAATACGAGTAATTTACCTGTTTGTTGTTACGTGCCATTGCTAGTAGATCACGCTGTAATGATGGAAGGTGGCTTCTTAAAAATGGCAGTACAAACGGTCTAAGTGGAAAGTTTGTCATTTCTTGTATATTATGGTGAAATTCTTCAACGCTTATTAAATTGTTCTGCGAAAATAAGGTATTCTTAAGAAATATAAATTATAACTTGTATATTTTCTAAAAATTTAACGAACGTAGATCAAAACTATTTATTATATAATTTATTCTACAGTGAAAATTAATTAGTCAAATATGTGAATATGGGATAAATCTTATTTATGTAGAATCAATATGTTCGTAATACGTATAAGTTGAAGTAAGGAATTTCCATGGCATGATCAATTTAATTATATTGTTTGTTGAACGTATAATGCATACGTATAACGTGTAAAAACATGGCTATTTTAACGATCGACAATATACGTTCAACAAATAATATCACGAAATTGCCTATGCCACGAAAATACTTTATTTCATTCTATATCCACTTGAGGGGGGACGCAAGGGAACGGAGTACCCTAACTAATTTTCAGAAATTTTAGCGTCCTCTACTATTATTATGTTATAATTATAACGCTTAACAAGTTTTTGGGACGCTCTTTTTTTTAAAGTAAATCCCTTTCTTTAATTTTTTCAAGTCGAGCATTGCCTATATCAATTTATTACGTAATATTTTACGTTGTTGTTAGCTCATATTATTATATGAGCTAACAACAACGTAATAATAAGCATGTGATTATGCCGTCAAAAATATCAATCGTCTCGATTTAAAAAAAAAAGTCAACCTTAAATCAATGGTTTAGTGTGTGTACTTACCACCAATGTGAATATCTGACCCTTAACTCGTTCACTAGTATGGGGTGATATTTGTCCACTGAATTGCACCAATGTAGAAAGGAATCTTTTTAGTTTCGAATGATTCCTAAATGTATCGGACTGAGGGCTTGAGCCTAAGTGCACCAAAGAAAACAATGAGTAACAACAGCACAAATAACAATAATGTTAGTAATATCGAAGAATACGTTAAAAAAAGCTTTTTCGACGGTTAGTCGACGAAACGATGAATACAGTTAGTTTAGGTAATTATCATATACCCAATTATTATATTTATTTTCTAAGCCCGTTTAGTATAGCATGGTTTAAAATTGAGTTACAAACACTTGATTTTATTGACAATTTATTTACTTTCAGATTCAACGTCGTTCTGTGTCGGTAACGGATGCGTGGGACTAAGCAAGTGTTCACCTGATGAATCGCTAGTGGACGTGGACGAAAAACCAGCATCTTTGGACTTGATTTTCGATTTTCCTGTTCAAATTAAAATTATATAAAAAATATTATTATTTATATATATATATATATATATATATATATACTCGTATATTATCTATGTTAGACTTTTCACGATTACTTAACGTCTGAATCGTTTCAAATATTATAAATATAAATAAATGAAACCAATAATAAAAGTGTAACAAATATCCGAGTTGTCATGAATAAATACGGGTAAAAAATTGTAATTTATTTTTAGTACCCATAAGTTAGCAGGACGTTTCGAGTACAACTTATGAAAAATAATCGCCGGTAGGCATGTATACCGGCTTACGGATATACGTAAAAATAATACACGGTACACGGTGGTATCGAGTCCTACGGTAATGATCGGTGCGCACCGTGACACGTACGTTTTACCAATAGATCCTTATTCGACAGACCCGACATAAAATCCATATAATCTCGTCGTACAATCAATCATACGATTTATGCGTTTTTATAGGTGCACCTACACCGTTATCGGGTGAAAATCGTTTTTTTTTTTTTTTTTTTTTTTTTAATTTTAACACTGCAGGGTACACAGCGAAGTCGTTATGTGTGTACGTGTACGTGTACGTGTGGATGTACGTGTGAGTACGTGTAGGCGGGTGTGTGTGTGTGTGCACAGCGTATGCACGCGCGCTCGTGCCCACCAAAAGCCACGCAGCCTTTGCCCGCCTAGTACGTGTCCGAGTGTTCGTGACACGTCCATTAGCGAAATTCAGTTGTGTCATACACATAAACGCCCTGCCGCCACCCCGCCGCCGCCGTCACGGCGAGTTATTAGTTTTAGCTGTAACTTCTGCGGTTGATGTGCCGCCGCCACCGCTACCTACTGCTCCCGCGCGGCGGCCACGCGGTGAAGAGGTGCCGGCGGCGTGAGATGGCGATGCAAGACGAACGCTCGCGGTGCGCGCACCGAGGGAACACGTCGGCCCCGGGCAACGAACGACGTGTTTCCGGCGCGTCGCGTCAAACGTTCCGTCTTTTCCCGCACAGGCGCCTTTTCGGGTTTTACCCGGGGGGGGGGGGGTCAAACCTACCCTTGCGAGGACTTTGTCCTAACCCCCTCGATCAACCATATTTCCATCGTCGTGAAAAATATTTACGTCGCAAAATATAACGTATTCAAATTTAAGGTCCTTGATTGGGGGGGGGTGGGGGTTTACGGCTAAGTTTGGGAGCTGAGCCCCCCTGATTTGCGTCTACGTTTTTCCGTTTGACGAAAAAATCGCGGACAAAGAGCTGTGATGTGTAAAGGTGGTGCTCCGCGACGCGTCCAATACCCTCGCACGTTGGCCCCACGACGGTTCACATCACATCGCGTACCGGCAACCGTCCACGCGTCGGATGGTGACAAATGTTCGCGTTGGCGTTGCAATGGATTCCCGCTGGAAGTCGGTGTTTTTGATCCGTCTCCGAGGAGTATCCGACGTCGGAAGCGATTCGCAATCAGCATGCTCGGTGCACGGCTGCACGACCTGACGGGTGAGGTCCTGTATCCAGATCCTTGGACTACCGTTTCGCGCTTCTGTTCGAAGACACCATCTACCAGCTCCTTGCACGTCTTCTCTCCTGCTTTTTTTTTTTTTTTCCATATTAATAACCTACCGCAACACGGTAAAATTACAGCGACAGCGGCTGCAATCTCGTCATTCGTTTTCGAATTTCTTCTATCCGTTTCGGTTTCTTTTTTGAGCGCGTATAAATGCACGCGCGGATACGCACCGGACGGAAGAAGCGTTCCAACACGACACTGGATCTAACGTTGGATGCAGCGCGTAGGCCGCATCCGTGAGTCAAACGTTGGTTCCAATGTTCAGCCAACGTTCGGCACGTCAATATTGAAGCCGCCTCAACGAGAGCGGCTCGTACGGTCGGTGGTGACCCGAAAGAATTCCATGATTCCGTCCCTGACCGCGGTTCGTCATCCCCGGACGGTCCGAAAGGTTCGTGCGTCGCCAGCAACCGATCACGTTTTCTCCTCGACGGTACTGCGATATTCCGAACGCGCTGCTTTGCGCGATTCACGACGGTTCGAAGACGTTCCGGTCAGATTTTTCTCTCCCGTTTATCACCCTGCCGTTTTACCGACCGTGTTAGTGCGTTTTGCTTTGCGCTCCACCGGAAACACGAACCGTCTCCATATATCCGTTCTGTGTTGTACACAGGTGATTGTGCGTGCGCGGGCCGCCAGGATTATCGGCGGACCACCCGCAACACTTTCGACGCTTTCCACCGGGTCGCTGTATCTTAAAACCTATTGGAAATACCTTGAAAACTTTTAACCCACTATAGAGCATTTGTACATCGTATTATTATTTCGTAAACATACGAATGAATGCGAAGATAATTTAATGCATTTTCCTGCATCATATTTTTTACTAAAATACATCTAACTGTCCCAAAAAGTAAATCATTGTACCTACCAAAGATTTATGTAGATCTAAAAGTCAACGAAAATCGTCGCGGCAGCTTGAAATAGATTTTTGATTACAAAAACCTGAACAATCCAACATGCATCTTATAGGATTAAAAGTACTTAAACAGTTTTAACATTTTTTTTTTTTTTTTTATTAATAAAATTGAGTATAAGAGAGTTTTTTTATTCAAATTTTACCACTAAGAATACTTTTTCCCCTACTCATAAAGAAATTGTGATAACAGATTGTATAATTTTATTACAAGACACGTATGGAGCTGTATTAAACTATTGTCACTAATATGTTCTTTGGTGGATATTAGTAAGACTGGTGCCACTATGGACTTATTTTTTCAAAACCTAATGGGAAATATATCTTAAAATAGTGTACGTAATAAGATTACAATTAAAAATTAGTGTACCAATAATTACAGCTATAAAAATGTATAATTTATTATTGTTTAAATAAAAAGTGTAGGCTTACCAAACATTTGCCCAACAAATGTTTATTATTTATTTACAAATTTAAATGTATACTCACAATAATATAAGTTTCTTATCAGTTAATGAAAACATATTTGACTTATGATTATGAATTTTTTTGTTCATATTTACATTTATAGGGGAAATACATTTTTCTGTATAAGAGTAAACTGCTATAAATTTCAATAATTATAGATACTCCATCATAGATTTGTTGTTTTTATATTCATTTTTAACACCTACCATAGTTTCTTTTATCATAATTAAATTGAAAATTACAGTATGAAACTTAGTTTTTTTTTTTTTTATCGTGTTTGGAAAACTCTTAACTACTATGGTTTGATTTGCAGAGACTTTTGATTTTTAATATAATTCTATTGACATTTATAAAAAGAAAAAAAACATTATGTTTAATTAATGATAATTTCATTAGTAAGCAGTAATATAAATTCTTATGATTTTTTGGAATCAATAAATTAATATTATACGAAGATTAAAAATAAGAATTATCAAAAGATTTTTATAAATAACTAGAAAATATTAGTTTACATAAGATTTTATAATTATATTATACGAAATTTTAAAATTTTGTCAATTACACAGAAATAATTAAGTCCAAAGATCCAAGAATTTTAGAACGTCAAATAATTTTAGGTCTTATCCTAACTTGTACATAAATATTTTACAGTGTTTTTTCTAGCTATGACCATAGTTAGTCACAATAATAACTGTTGATAATATAATAATAGATATATGAGCATATTAATTTAAACTTTTAAAGCTTCAAATGCCAAGAGAAGGTAATTTTACTCTAAAGTTTTGAATTACATATTAAATATTATGTTTTTAAATAATTTTCATTTGCTTTATTCGTGTAAAATTAGTATAATTCTTGGACATAAAATGAGTAACACTATTTCTCTATGGTTACTTAGATATTTTATAAAAAAAACTCTATCACTCATGTTTGATTATTAAAAACTACGTAATTCAATAAACAATTTAATATTATAATTTACAGTTAATATCTTATTAGGTAAATTGTTAATATTAACAGTAAACAATAACCATCAAGATTTACTAAAAAAATATCAGAGATTTTGTTTTATCTACAAATTATTATTGAAAAACAAAATAAAAACTATTATATATAAAATAATCAAGGCTCTTAATTGATTAATATGCGAGCCCCGAGAGTAAAATAACAATAAATTTAAATCTGAAAAAATCAGTTAAGACAATGTATTTTATACACATAACGCGATGCAAAATATTTTTCTTATTAATCGAATAACATTTAGGTTCCGCAGTTTGTTGAAAAGTTCTCTTGTAGCTATAAATATACATTCGCGTAAAGCCACGGAACGCAGGTGCGCGCCATATGGGCCGAAGGTCTGCGTTGTTATTGCGTCCGACTGGTTGGGAATATGAACTTCCTTTTCCTTCGCCGGCGACGGTAGTCACCTCGGAGAATTGAGAAAATAAACAAATAGACATTGAAACGACACTTTCATATTATAAAACAATCGTAGAAATGTATAATTAGCTGAGTGTGTACGTAGTTACGTAGTTTGTTTGAGACATATTATGCTGTTATATTCTATATGTTATATTTATATACAGTACATAGATGGAAACAGGGTAGTATGGATTCCATACTCTTCCCCTACTTAAATATTTTCCAGATACCGTTAACTTAAGTTTTCGCAACTATTTAAAACTATAATATAGCAACTATTTAATTCATTTACCTATTTACCTATTTACCTATTACCTATTTGAAAATGTATTATACGTAAAATAACTGTCAAGTTATATACGAAAAAAAAAATAACCAAATTTCCAGAAAATATTTATGCAGTTTCGTCTATAATAATCCTTTAAATCTTGTATTCCTCGAGATACCAAAATATATTTCAATTAACTATTACGTCATACGTGTTATAAAATAATACACATACACGATCCTTCGAGCACCGTCGATGTTTGCAGTAATAATACTATAACAAAAAGCAGTTATAATTATAATTATTATTATTCGTGCGACGTCATAAACATATTTAATTCTGATTATATAGAGTTTTGAAAT